AACCTTGATCTCTTCCACTCCAACAGCGCCTCCTGCTGCCAGAGAATGAGTTTGCATATATATGCTGCCTGGGAAACACTGGACTATGGTATAAATAAACATATGTGACCCTGACAACAAAACCAGTCATAAGGGTCAATTTTTCGAAATTGAGATTTATACATCACCTGAAAGCTGAATAAATAAGCTTTTCATTGATGTATGGTTTGTTAGGATAGGACAATATTTGGCCGAGATACAACTATTTGAAAATCTGGAATCTGAGGGTGCAAAAAAATCAAAATACTGAGAAAATCGCCTTTAAAGTTGTCCAAATTAAGTCCTTAGCTATGCATATTACTAATCAAAAATTAAGTTTTGATATATTTACAGTAGCAAATTTACAAAATATCTTCATGGAACATCATCTTTACTTAATATCCTAATGATTTTTGGCATAAAAGAAAAATCTATAATTTTGACCCATACAATGTTATTTTGGCTATTGCTACAAATATACCCCAGCGACTCGAGACTGCTTTTGTGCTGCAGGGTCACATATATTTGTATGGATTGATGCAAATGTTTTTGGTTACAGATGCCTTTGTAGAAATACCTAATTTTCTACTGCAATGACTGCGTCTTCATCTCACGCAAGTGTACATCATCTCTATTAAAATCACTACTCATTTATTTAGAGCTAAAACTAGTTGTAAGCCACATTTAGGACAAGAATCACCTTCTTTATTGCTACAAATTATTGCCCGAATGAAATTCACGCCAGTGGCTGTGGTACAGATACTGATAAACACAGCGCATCTGGCCTACAAATCACAGAAATACATTTTTTTACTTTTCAAAGGCAGATTTTATGATCACAGAGTCAACAGCTGTGGTTAGAAACCACAAACAACCAAGCCAAGGCATTTGTCATCCCCTCGAGGCTGTTTTTGGCATCTGTAGACATTTACAGACCCAGACAAAATGCAAATGTATCAATCAAAATCTTTGCAGCAAATCTTCACCAAGTCTGACATGTGTTAAAGCAGTGGTTCCCAACCCTGGCCCTGGAGGCACCCCAACACTGCACGTTTTGCATGCCTCCTTAATCAAACACACCTGATTCAGGTCATCAGCTCATTAGTAGAGACTTAAAGACTTGAAATTGGTGTGTCAGAGAAAGGAGACATGCAAAACGTGCAGTGTTGGGGTGCCTCCAGGACCAGGGTTGGGAACCATGGTGTTAAAGTACTGAATAAATGCACTGGACCTGTTCAGTTCATTTGATCAGTGCTATACATTTAAGGTAATGTTGACCAGTTCTTCATAAGGTGGAAATGCAAATCATCACACATCTTTAATAAGATAACATATCCGACTCGCTGTGAGTTCATTAGTCTTTAAACCACCGCCTTGTTGTTGTTTGCTGTCTTGCAATTATTTGGCGATGCTGTTCAGAATAAGTTCAAAGGTTTTAGACATTTTATGCGACTCATTTTATGCTCTCATCCTTTTTTAATGCAAAAGCAGTTTTGAATAGCAGCTCACACTTCCATAGCAAATCAAACGCAGGGTATGAAGACGTGTCTCATCTTGTGTTGAGGAAAAATAGTGTCTCTGACTCAAAGCTTGGGTTCATTTTGACACTGTTATGACAAGACAGACAGACAAATATATCAGCGTTTTAATTGTAAACAAACAAACAAAATCGATAATATGCTCAATATTGTAAATGGATATATATATTGTTCTTAGTGAACAATCCTCACTGTCTGCTATATATAATAATTAACATAATTGTAATATTTTTCATAGTAATTATTAAAATGTTACATGTAATTTAAAAATGTTATATTTGATATAATAAACATAACTTCTTTGTAAAATGTCAGAAATTATTTATTACGTTTACTGCCTGCTTTATATGTTTAAAATATTATTACATATTATGTATCATGTTATTAAAATGTATTACATTTTAAAATGTTATATTTGATATCATACAAAATATAACTTCCTAATAAAACTTTAAAAAATAAAATAATTTTTTCTGCCTGCTTTATGATTTAAAATATTTTATAATATTTATCATATTATTAAAATGTATTAAATTAAAATGTATGTTATGTATTAAATTCAAATAATTTTATATTTGATATAATACAAAATATTTCTTAGTAAAATTATTTTAAAATTATCACATTTTAAAATGACATAATACAAATATAACTTCTTTGTAAAATGAATAGAAATATTTATTACATGTTTACTGTAATGTTATATATTTATCATGTTAATTATCAAAATGTATTATATTTTAAAATGTTATATAAATTATTTATTCATGTTTTTTTCTGTCAGCTTTATATGATTAAAATGTTATACAATATTTATAATATTAAAATATATTAAATAAAAATGTTAAATTATATACTGTATATAATACAACATATTTCTTAGTAAAAAAATATTTTTTCTTAATAAAATGTTATATTTCATATAATACAAAATATAAAGTTTCTTTATTTATTTATGTTCTACATTTTTTCTGTTAAAAGACTGGGGCTAGTTGTCACACTTTTTACTCAAGTGAATTTCTCTGGGTATATTTATTTTTAAAATCCAATTTGTGTATAAACCTTAAAATCTTGACTACATAAGCCACTGAATTCAATTGAAACTTTAACATTTAAAATTTATGAAAGTTATGAAATGCAACATCTTATGCATACATATAAAACCGTAATATACAAATATTGTAATTCTGTATAAATGTATAACATTTCAAATACGTGGCAGTCTGATGCAATAAAATCATAGCTATGTGGCCCAACCTAATATTTATGAAAAAAGAGGCTAGTCCTGGGAACACAGTTGTTGATGTTGTTGTTTTTTCCCCCATTCAATTAATATGGGAATGTTTTCCTTTGTGGAAGCTAAAATATTTTCTGGAAGAACACACTACAAAAGCACATCAGTCATTATGAGATGTGTCACTTCTGATTTCAGCCTCATTCTGCACATTGACAAACGAGACAAATGTTCTCATCACTGTTTGGCGTCAACATCAATGGCTACACCAAGTGAAATGGCTAATGCGGTGGCTCCAGATTTGCTCATGTAAGATGCTCTGGCAGCAGCATCACACATCAGTCTTTGATCCCCGTCGCAGCGGGAGTTTGTGACAGTTTTTTGGTATCAAAAGGAGTAAACACAGAACTTATCAATTGAAGCTAGACAAAAATGAAATAAATAAAAACACGTAAACATTGCATTGATTGCCCTGCTAGACAGCACACTTTCTGGCTGGAAAAGACCCTTGGCATCCATGCATAAGTGAGATTCAGGGCCAGTGAACCCCTAAATTACTCAACGTGTCTTTAATTACTGCAATGCTCAGAAGATATTTTGACGATTGCTGGTAATCAAACAGTTGCTGGTTGCCATTGACTTCCATAGTATTTTTTTTTCCTACTATGGAAGTCAATGGCAACCAGCAACTGTTTGATTACCAGCAATCTTCAAAATATCTTCTTTTGTGTTCAACATAAGAAAGCAACTCATACAGGTTTGGAACGGCATGAGGGTGAGTAAATGATGACAGAATTTTCATTTTTGGGTGAACTATCCCTTTAAGCTCAAGAGTTCAAAAAAACTAACAGAAACTGAGGGGTAGGCTAGTTACTGACATTTTGAATTTCAGCATCATATTTCAATTTTATACATCAACGCTCTTTGTAAGTAATAGTTCTTCAATAAATTCTTTCAATCTGAAGATAAATTGTTTTTGATTAATAAATTGTACTTTAATTTTACGATTAGAAGATTATTTTCTCTAACATCCCAAGGTTTACATGTTAACATCACCTTAAGTCCAATATCTGTACGTAAAAAAAAAACATGCAATTTACATTAGATTTTTTTCAAATAATTAGATTTTTAATTTATAGTAATTATTTAAATCAAATAATAAATTAACTATAACTATTTGAAATATAGATCAATATCTACAATTAAAAAGTATACCATTTGTATTTTTATGAATTAATTATTAATATAATAATCATTAATAATTTATAATTAAACAATATTACCATCATTGCCCATCATATATTACAGTTTAATTACTAATAATTTTTTAAGTATTAATTAATCATTTATTAATTATAATAATTTAACAATTAATACTTTTAAAATTATAATTAAACACAATTCACTAAAAATGAAACCATGAAAAACTGACTCATATTTTAAATGTTATACATTTATACAGAATTACAAAGAAATTTGATTTTAAAAATAACTATACCCAGAGAAATTCATTGGAGTCTCATAACAGTGAAAATGTAGTGATTAAATGAATTTTTTTCATTCATTTTATTAAGAAGTTATATTTTATGTTACATCAACTATAACATGTTCAAATTTAATATCATAGATTAAAATATTATATAATATTATTTTAATCATATAAAGCCAATGAAGACAATAAAAATGTAATGATTAATTTTATTAAGAAGTTATATTTTGTATGATATCAAATATAACATTTTAGAATTGTATACATTTTAATAGTTAATATGCTAAATATATAAATATTAGCATGGGTTTTAAACAATAATTGACGATTTAAAACCATATTTTTATTTATTTATTATTATTTTAAATTTAACATTTAGATTTCTATTGTGCTTTCCTGAAGCTCAAACAGAATGAGCACTTGCCTTCAAGCATGCAATTTGTGGGTCAAATTGACCTGCTAACATCACAGTCATAATATAAATTTCACAACACCTCAGTGTCAAAACATTGCAGGCATGTTCATGACCCTAAATGAGATATAATTTCATAATTTCAAGAAAAACATCCTAGGTTAATTTCCCTAGTATTTCCCACAACTCAAAAATGTGCTGCGGGTCAAACTGACCCGGAACATACGGTAATATAAGGGCTAGACTAAGATTAATCTATTATCTTCTTCTTATTTCCTCCACCAATATGCATAAATGGGAAGTGAGATGTCATATACACAGACGGATAGAAGAATGTGCTGTTGTTGGCATATGTGCGTTGTATTTCAGGAGGTTGAAATGACATTGCTTTGTACTGTAGTGGCGGTGCTTTGGGGAGGAGAGACGGTTCCTCACAGTCGAGCTCAGGAGGAGTCCTGGCAGAAAACTCTGGCTTTTCTTGAGGAGCATCTCTATGACAACAGCAAAGAAGTTACACGCTGCTAACCATTTATATACTGTATTTATAATTGCAAGACTAATTCATCTTCATTGTGCCTTTTTACAGTAATAATGAATAGATTATTAGTATTAATCTAACAAGGGTTAATTTAACCTGGAACATAATGAATGTACCCATCATTTTAACATAAGACAAGGGCTAGAAACTCAATGGAAAAACGAGCTTCACCTTTGGTCTTTGCCTCCAGTAACTTGAAATCACTGAATCGGACGTGAGGGCTGTAGGGCGGCTCAATAAGGAGACCCGTTCCAGGATACGAGAGAACCGTTAGGAGGTCACTGTTCCCGGCCTTTTCCATCCTCTTCTTCATCTACCGAACAGGACATGAGATTGGCTAAATCACTGGCCTGAGATGAAATAAAAGTGCTGAAGACGAACATTTTATTGTGTTAAACCGATCGACTCACATCCACTGCAGATTCTGAAGCTGGCCAGTTTTGATCGTCCTCACCAGCAATTAAAGGGATAGTTCACCCAAAAATGAAAATTGAATGTTTATCTGCTTACCCCCAGGGCATCCAAGAATGTAGGTGACTTTGTTTCTTCAGTAGAACACAAACGAAGATTTTTAACTCAAACCGTTGCAGTCTGTCAGTCATATAATGGAGGTGAATGGAAATCACGGCATTGAGAGTCAAAAAAAACATACACAGACAAAACCAAATTAAACCCTGCAGCTCGTGATGATACATTGATGTGTAAAGACACGAAACGATCGGTCTGTGCAAGAAACTGAACAGTATTTATATAGTTTTTACCTCTGATGCACTGCAATGTCTGAACTGTCCTGAGCGCGTCCTCGACAGCTGGTGCGTGACGCGTCTTCTTCTTCTTGCTTTACGGCGGATTGCAGACTTATAAGTGCATTACCGCCACCTATCTCTCAAGTGGACCATTGACACTCTATCTACAATCTCTGTAGATAGAGTGTCAATGGTCCACTTGAGAGATAGGTGGCGGTAATGCACTGATAAGTCTTTACACATCAATGTATCGTCACGAGCCGCAGGGTTTAATTTGCTTTTGTTTGTGTATATTTTTTTGACTCTCAAAGCCGTGATTCCCATCCACTTGTTTATAAGACTGACAGACTGCAACGGTTTGAGTTAAAAATCTTCGTTTGTGTTCTGCTGAACAAACAAAGTCACCTACATCTTGGATGCCCTGGGAGTAAGCAGATAAACATCAAATTTTCATTTCTGGGTGAACTATCCCTTTAATAATAAAGGGCATTTGATTTCACCCATCTGGTAAAAACAAAACCCACCGTAAGAATTGCAAGCACATGACTCTTTACAGTACAAAACTGCATATTATGCACCACTAACACAGTAAATGTATCATTTTCATACCTTAACTTTCTTGGAAGGGTCATTTGGTATTGGCAGCAACAGATCCCGCCAAATTATTCTCATCTTTTCATCATAACGGGTTTTGTCTACATTCCTTGGTATTGACAGAATGACAGATGTTATTAGTATATAGTTTGTACTGTATAATGTAATGTATTTTAATTGTATTTGTCTGTTATGGGAAAACAGTGTTTCACACTATTGCAGTGCTGCATAGACCTCCGCCAAAGATCCTTTGAGCGGCATGATGTGCCTCCCACTCACACAAACCACACAACCACAAGGACAGAAAAATACATTGCAGGTCTCTGCATCAAATCTCCACTGTACTGATGTACATGAGAACGTGTGACGTATTCACCTTTACAATTTCTGAGTATGCTGTCAAACCCAGCGTTACAGAGACACCGAATGACATCCCCATCACTGCCACTCTGTCAGGACGCACTTTGGGGTGTTTTTGTAGAAATGTGAACGCAGATTTGATGAGCTTTAAATACTTTCAAGGTACTGTACATATGATGGTATATACCTTATTTTCCCTCTCCAATGTGTGAATCAAATTTTGGGAAATACTGAACATTTTATTTAAAATTAATTACATTTTAAATTAATTAAAATTAGAAAATTATAAATTAATTTACATATAACTGAATTATTTTTAAATCACTTCAGCATTAACAAACATTAAATAATGTCAGATTAGTTAAAGTATATGCAAATAAATAGTAGAAAGGTCATTCCATTTTAATAAATATATTATCATATACACTTCTGGTCAAAAGTTTGGAATAAGATTTTTTTATGTTTTTAAATAAGTCTCTTATGCTTGCCAAGGCTGTATTTATTTGATCAAAAACACAGTAAAACATTAATATTGTAAAATATATTTAGAATGTAGTTTTCTATTTGAATATTTTGTAAATGTAATTCATTCCTGTGATCAAAGCTGAATTTTCAGCATCATTACTCCAGTCTTCAGTCACATGATCCTTCAGAAATCATGCTAATATGCTGCTCCATTATTATCAATTATTATTGCTCTCAATTATTAATAATAATAATAAAACATTTTTGCTGCTTAATATTTTTGAGTAATATTTTTTAAAATTGATGAATAGAAATAACTTTTAAATGGAAGTGTATCACGGTTTCCACAAAAACATGAAGCTGCACAACTGTTTTCAACATTGATAATAATAAGAAATGTTTCTTGAGCAGCAAATCAGCATATTAGAATGATTTCTGAGACTGAAGACTGCAGTAATGATGCTGCAAATTCAGCTTTGCATCACAGGAATAAATTACATTTTTAAATATATATAAACTGAAAACTGTTTTTTTTTTTGTAATATTATTTCACAGTATTACTAATTTTACTGTATTTTTGATGAAACAAATGCAGCCTTGGTGAACATAAGAGACTTCTTTCAAAAACAATAAAATATCTGAATTATTCCAAACTTTTGACCAGTATTGTATATTCAGATATAAATACACATGAATTACTTACCTATCTGTTAATCAGAGTTATATTTGTAGTTGTTGTGTAGCACACATGTACCTCAAAGTAGGTGTTGTCCATGTGATGGAGTTTTCCTGCAGCATTCAGGATCCCGATGTATTCCTGGACCAGCGAGACATAGTCGTGGGACGCCAGGAGCGCTGAGCGATACTCAACACGACCCCCCTGCCCTCCCCAGAGGTCCAGCACGGCAGGAAAGGGGCCTGCATTACAAAACCACACGCATTTAAATGGAGAGTCCCTCGAGTCTCGATAAATGTAGACAGAATGTAATGATTTACATTCATCTAAATATACAAGGTCACAGAGTAGGTTGGTTTTAAAATAAATGCTTCTCTTGTGGCACAATATAAATGTATATTTCATGTGTTGTTTCTGGATATTTTGAATTGAAGCCTTTTGATCATTTTAATGCATCATTGCAGAATGCAAGTATTAGTTTCTTTAAATAATAAAAAAAACCTTAATGACCCCAAATGGCAGTATAAGTAAATACATTTATGTTATAATTAAATATATATTAATGAATTAAATTTGCATATTATTTAAAGTACATTCTAATTATTATTATATATTTATATTATTATAATTGAATATACATTTTAAAATACTACACTATACCAATGATATATGGGCAAGGACTGCATCTAATGACTAATCCATACCTGAGGGAATGAACAGTGTCCCCTTTATCTCACCCTCTGTCACTTCAACGCTCTGGACTTCAGGGGCCAAATACCAGCATTCAGCAGTAGCTGATGTGAGGGGTGTGTGATGCTTGAAGCCCTTAGCAAGGTGTCCTTCATGCACGGAAAACACCACTTTGATAGGTGTCTGGACATTGTTCTTCCGCAATCTGTCAATTCAAATCAAAATTATCTGTCAATTCAGTGCGTGAGGGTAAAAGATTTTCCCACGCAGATTTCGCATCAGGTTTAAGTTGTGACTCCACTTTTAATAAAATTCTCAGTTTTCAACCAAAAAAAATACCAGCATACATTTTTACAAAGACATATAGACCTCAGTCAAGGTAGATCCATGTTTAATTTTTTGACAGGAATGAAATTCAGGCTGTGAGGGACTTAAGTACAGAGCATTCAGTGGATTGTACTGTTATTTAACAATTAGCGACTGTTCAGCTGACAAAACATCTTTCTGAAGAAAAAAAAAATTTCAGTAGTCAAAAACTCCAAAAAATAGTTTTAAACCTGTGGGTTGGCAAAATGGCATGATCTAGGACTTTTAATCAGTGCATGCCACTGTAAAGCCTATCCGTCACAGCCTTGTTTTCATTAACGTTAAATTCAATATGGTGTCTTTTAAAGGTGCAATAGGTGATTGTGTTCAGAAACATTTTTTGTTATGCTGGTTGAAAGTCTCTTCACATCTCGATAGCAATCATTAAATTAAGTGGTCTAAATGTATTTATCTATATTTATATATTCTGTGGAAGGTGTAGGACCAAGAAATGCTCGTCCAATCAAAACGCCCCGCTCTTTTTTTTTTTGCATGTCTCGCTTAGGCATTAGTGCCCGCCCCCTTTTTTAGTGTATTTTTCCACTCATTTCCTTTTTTAAAAAGTCTTTGTTAGAGCCATGAATCAAACCAACCAGCTACGAGGTGAATCACAACAGTACAAACTTTGATTTGAAGCAAAAAAAAGTTTTTGAAAATCGAAAAAAAAAAAGACATTTTTGTGTGTTTTTAACGGCTTTAATGAACCCAATTAAGCATTGTAAAAGACAATCAAATTTGAAAACAATTGAGAAATATAAAACTATCCATTTAAAGTTGTTGACTGTATATACAGAAACAACATATTTTAAGTTTATTGGCAAATATGCATATATATTTTCAAATATTTAAGTATTTTGAGAGTGTGGGGAGTCTCTATAACATAATTTGCGTGCTTCATGGAATGGGCGGAGCTAAGCGCTCGTTTGGCCCGATTTGCTCACTACAGCTCTCTGATTGGTGGAAATTTCTTTACAGCATCGTGGGTAATGTAGTTTTTTAACAATGGATTGTAGCTGATGTGAGGGGTGTGTGATGCTTGAAGCCCTTAGCAAGGTGTCCTTCATGCACGGAAAACACCACTTTGATAGGTGTCTGGACATTGTTCTTCCGCAATCTGTCAATTCAAATCAAAATTATCTGTCAATTCAGTGCGTGAGGGTAAAAGATTTTCCCACGCAGATTTCGCATCAGGTTTAAGTTGTGACTCCACTTTTAATAAAATTCTCAGTTTTCAACCAAAAAAAATACCAGCATACATTTTTACAAAGACATATAGACCTCAGTCAAGGTAGATCCATGTTTAATTTTTTGACAGGAATGAAATTCAGGCTGTGAGGGACTTAAGTACAGAGCATTCAGTGGATTGTACTGTTATTTAACAATTAGCGACTGTTCAGCTGACAAAACATCTTTCTGAAGAAAAAAAAAATTTCAGTAGTCAAAAACTCCAAAAAATAGTTTTAAACCTGTGGGTTGGCAAAATGGCATGATCTAGGACTTTTAATCAGTGCATGCCACTGTAAAGCCTATCCGTCACAGCCTTGTTTTCATTAACGTTAAATTCAATATGGTGTCTTTTAAAGGTGCAATAGGTGATTGTGTTCAGAAACATTTTTTGTTATGCTGGTTGAAAGTCTCTTCACATCTCGATAGCAATCATTAAATTAAGTGGTCTAAATGTATTTATCTATATTTATATATTCTGTGGAAGGTGTAGGACCAAGAAATGCTCGTCCAATCAAAACGCCCCGCTCTTTTTTTTTTTGCATGTCTCGCTTAGGCATTAGTGCCCGCCCCCTTTTTTAGTGTATTTTTCCACTCATTTCCTTTTTTAAAAAGTCTTTGTTAGAGCCATGAATCAAACCAACCAGCTACGAGGTGAATCACAACAGTACAAACTTTGATTTGAAGCAAAAAAAAGTTTTTGAAAATCGAAAAAAAAAAAGACATTTTTGTGTGTTTTTAACGGCTTTAATGAACCCAATTAAGCATTGTAAAAGACAATCAAATTTGAAAACAATTGAGAAATATAAAACTATCCATTTAAAGTTGTTGACTGTATATACAGAAACAACATATTTTAAGTTTATTGGCAAATATGCATATATATTTTCAAATATTTAAGTATTTTGAGAGTGTGGGGAGTCTCTATAACATAATTTGCGTGCGTCATGGAATGGGCGGAGCTAAGCGCTCGTTTGGCCCGATTTGCTCACTACAGCTCTCTGATTGGTGGAAATTTCTTTACAGCATCGTGGGTAATGTAGTTTTTTAACAATGGATTCCGCTGTTAAGCATGGCTGGGTGTCAAACTCAATTCCTGGAGAGCCGGAGCCCTGCAGAGTTTAGATTCAACCCTATTTAAACTCACCTGATTCAGCTAATCAAATCCGTCAGGCTTATTTGAAAACTACATGGTATGTGTGTTGGAGCAGGGTTGGAACAAAACTCCGCAAGGCTCCGGCCCTCCAGGAATTGAATTTGACACCCCTGATTTAAAACATGAGTTGAAATATTGCAAAGTTATGGCTTCAACAAAAGCATATTAACAATTTCCCTAAGAAGAATATTAATTGCATTTTTGCCTCTGCAACCCGACTATTGCACTATATTGACAATGGACCTTTTATTCCCACAAAATGTTGTTAATGTGAGCACCTTTACGATAAAATTCCTATTTTGTTTTACACAGAAAATAAATAAATAACAGTATACAGTTTTGGGACGACGTATGGAGAGTAAATGATGACAGAATTTTATTTTAAGGTGAACTGTCCCTTTAAATCTGAAGTTCATTACAAGTGCATGCAATTAAAAAAAAGTGGTGCAGTTATTTATCTCTCTCACTTTACTTACTCACCGGCGACCTGGTTTACATTCAGGAACAGGTCTCATACTCCAAAGCACACCCATGGCTTCAACCCCCTCAAATGTCCCGCCAAGACTTTCATCTCTGGAAACTGTGTATTAATAATTAAGTAAATCCTTCAATGATTGAGAAAGCTTTTAGAAACAAAACAGTGATTGTATGAAAGTTTAAGATGAAGCAGTGTACCTCCCTGAGGAGTCGCTGGTGTAGTGGCCGAACGCTTCCCAATCGTCTCCATCTTCAGAGTGACTCTAGAGGAGAAAAAAAAAGTGGTGCAGTTATTTATCTCTCTCGCTTTACTTACTCACCGGCGACCTGGTTTACATTCAGGAACAGGTCTCATACTCCAAAGCACACCCATGGCTTCAACCCCCTCAAATGTCCCGCCAAGACTTTCATCTCTGGAAACTGTGTATTAATAATTAAGTAAATCCTTTAATGATTGAGAAAGCTTTCAGAAACAAAACAGTGATTGTATGAAAGTTTAAGATGAAGCAGTGTACCTCCCTGAGGAGTCGCTGGTGTAGTGGCCGAACGCTTCCCAATCGTCTCCATCTTCAGAGTGACTCTAGAGGAGTGAATTTAGAATCGGCAGGCAAGTTTTTCACTTCTACCTCTACTTTTTCATCAACCAAGCAACTCGAAGGATGATAAACTTTTGCAAAACCACAAAGGAAAAACATTTCTGTTTTCAGTACATTGTTGTCATGTAAATGTACCCTAAATGTTTATACTGCTTTGATTAAATAAATAACAAATAAAATCTGTCATTTAGAAATGCTACAAGTGAATTTAGGCATCACAAAATTATATGCAAAAGTAATATTTATTTTGAGTTCTGCTAAAGATTACATTTAAGTGTTATTAAATTAATGTTTTTAAAAATTAACTTCATTTTGGGGTCAGAAAGATGAAGGAAATTAATACTTTTATTTAGTAAGGATGCATTAAATTGATCAAAAAGTGACAGTAAAGACATTTATAATGCTACAAAAGACATGTATTTCAAATAAATGCTGTTCTTTTCAACTTTTTATTTATGGACGAATCCTGGGGGGGGGAATTAATCATGATATCCACAAAAATATGAAACAGCACAACTATTTTCAGGATTGATAATAATAATACATATTTCTCGAGCAGCAAATCAGCATATCAGAATGATTTCTGAAGGATCGAGTGACACTGAAGACTGCAGTAATGATGCTGAAAATTCAGCTTTGATCACAGAAATAAATGACATTTTAAAATATATTCAAACAGAAAACACTTATTGTACATTTTTCATAATATTTCACAATACTACTGTTTTTACTGTATTTTTGATCAAATTAATGCAGCCTTGGTGAGCAGAAGTGACTTCAAAAACATAAATAAAATTATTTTACACCAAACGTTTGAATGGTTGTATACAGTATAACACTTTGACACACCTGCCAATGGCCAGTGACTTGAGAAAATTTACCGTCCATAAATATTTTTTCCAGCCATGAAATTTAGTTTTTTTTAATTTGATAAAAGCGCTAAACCATAATTTTATTATGGTTTTTATTATTACCATTCATTTTAGGCCGTGGTTTTATATATATATATATATATAATACAAACAACTCTGGGTGGACTCTGGATGGACACAGTAATGTGCAGTGTACTCTACTGAAGTGTCCTGTACCTGATTTCCTGTAGTTGGTGTAACAGCGCTGCTCTCAGGGGTGCTGGCGAGGGCCAGAGCGGTGGCCAGTTCACTTTGAGTGATGGGTCTGGGGCCCACGGCGCCGTTATAACCGAGCGAAGCTGGCCTCATGCCGGCCAAACCACTAGCAAGAGTGGACGGCCCACCGCGATTCCCCTACAGATGATAAACTGGCTTAGGATCCAATACTGTCAATGCACTATTCCTAATGAAGAACAGTAAATCATCACAAACCGACTGGAAGTCCTCATCATCATCAGACATGCCTTCAAAGAGGAAACCTCCTGTAGATTAAAAAAAAATGTATGCATGAAAATTACTATGGATCACCAAAATGACCCGTCACATTATGTAAATGGTGGGCAATTTTTCACTTAAATTGTGTTTAAATGGACACCCACCTGGCATGTCGCTGTAAGAGCTAGAAGACACGTTTCTGGAGGAGCTGGCGCTCTGTTGGGGCGGCACGCTGCCAGCCACCGAGTGCAGCACCAGGATGATGGCATTTACCAGTGCCGGGTGGGAATTGGCCAATCTGGTGAGACAGTTAAGCTCAGGGTATCATTTGCTTTAACCCAAAGTGTACCACATGATTCAAATGTCACATTCGGAGGCAATAAAACCTCAGATTCAACAGAAGTCAACACAATATGACATTCACACCCGTTTTTACTATATTACTATAATGCCAAAATGGAAAGTCGTTTTAAAAGCAAAATAAATAATTTAATTGTGATTAATTATTATAAAGACATACAGTACCAGACAAAATTGACTGCTTATGATTAAGTGCTTGAAATGAAACAAATATGAATTCTACCTAAATATAAATGTATTAACAAATATATTGTATTATTATTATTATTTCAACATTGAATAATAATAATATTATTATTATTATTATGACTATTACTATTATTATTATTAGTAGTAGTAGTAGTAATAGTAGTAATATTAATTATAATTACTATTAAATAATATTACTGATTAATTAATAATAATAACAATAATTCTATTATAATATATTATCATTTTATATATTATTATATTACAAAAGTATATAAATTTTTTCAATCCTGAAAATAGTTGTGCTGTTTCATATTTTGGTGGATATCATGATTCATTTCCCCCCCAGGATTCGTCCATAAATAAAAAGTGGAAAAGAACAGCATTTATTTGAAATACATATCTTTTGTAGCATTATAAATGTCTTTACTGTCACTTTTTGATCAATTTAATGCATCCTTACTAAATAAAAGTATTAATTTCCTTCATCTTTCTGACCCCAAAATGAAGTTAATTTTTTAAAACATTAATTTAATAACACTTAAATGTAATCTTGAACAGAACTCAAAATAAATATTACTTCTACATATATTTTTTTGATGCCTAAATTCACTTGTAGCATTTCTAAATGACAGATTTTATTATTTTTTTATTTAATCAAAGCAGTATAAACATTTAGGGTACATTTACATGACAACAATGTACTGAAAACAGAAATGTTTTTCCTTTGTGGTTTTGCAAAAGTTTCGCATACAGACCCCGTTCACACGGATCGGCAAAAATGATGAAAAATACTGCATTATTCATACCAGGCCAGTAGATGGCGATGTCACTTTGCAAAGAAACACTACGGCGTGCACACATATAATACACAAGTGCATGACGTCACCGTCTTCAGGTTTCATTCAAAATTTGTGTTTTTGTAGTTTATACTGAGATGGTAATGGTATCATTTTTAAAAACTTGCACATTGAAACCCGTTTTCAAAAGTTTGCATTTTCACCCCCCCAAAACGCTGTTGTCTTGTAAATAAGCAGCCAAACGCATACAACGTTTTCCGTTTTTAGTTGAAAATGATGTTGTGACCCCTTAATGTCAGAACTAGTTAACAGATAATAATTAATAAATTAATTAATGGTAATAATTGTTACCAGCTGGAATTTAAACATCAGTGTGTCTATGATGTTTTCGATTTGCATACACTAATTTAAAAAACGAATATGTCTGTTACAGGGTCCCTCTTCAGGAGTGTCCCCAATCCCTGCAGGCACTCCTATAACCAACGACCTGTTTAACCAGGCACTGCAGCAGGCCCTGCAGGTGTCCAGCATGTCCAGCTTACACGTGAGTAACCACCCAACATACAGAATCATCTTTATAATTATATTATAATACATTATTATTTTATATATTATTATATTACAAAAATTATTTGTTTTATTATTATATTAGTTAATAAATTATTGTTGTTATTACATTATTACCAATTAATAATAACATTATTGATCGATGATGATGATTATTGTTAATTATGTATTAATAAATAATTAATAATTGTAAATAATGTATTAATTGCTATTTATATTCATATTGATTAGTAAATTAACAATAACATTACTGATTTATGTTTACTGTTGTTGTTTTATTATTATTATTTTAAATATAACACTTTATTTTTGTTGTTATTTTTCTTATAATTATTACTACTAATAATAAATATTATTATTATTTATTTGTTTGTTTATTTGTTCATTCATTCATTCGTTTATTTATTTATGGATGAGGTGGGGCAGTTCATAAAGGAAATCAGCTATTTCCTGTTGTATGTAATGATGCTCACTTACGTGTCAAGCATGTTTGGGTCTGTGAATTGTATGAAGAGGTCTTTGTCTTGAAGAACCCCTTAAAATGTAGTCAATAAACATGAGTAAGTCTTCAACACGCCTCACATCACAAATCACTTCTGCCTGTAAACATACCTAGAGCCACAGGATCGCTGCTCAGCCCAGGTGTTGCTATGATGATCTGGTCGAGGGATTCCTTGTTGTTCAGCATCTTGAACACCTGGAATGAGTGAACAGCTACTCAAACATGTTCCCAAGGATCCAGAACCAGCAGCACGTTCAGACGCTTGTGTTCAGCAATGCTGGTCAAGTCAACCTACCGAGTCTCTGTATGCAGTGCTGGTGTGAAGAGCTGCCTGCAAGACACGAAACTCCCTCGCAGCTGCAACCTTGTCCACTGGCTCTATAGAGGAACATACAGGAATAAATAATGGACTCTATTCAGGGTGCATTTTTGGAGCTTGCCAGTGTCCATCTGTACATAATTTCATTTGTATGGAAAAGAGCAGCATGAACATTCTGCCCGATGTCTCCTTTTGTGTTCCTCTGCAGAACGTAAACCCGACTCACCGGGATGGATCTCAGGCTCAGGCCAAGACTTTCTCAGGATGTGCACAGTGGATCCCGACTGAATCCCATAGGACTCCAGAGTCAAGTCATCCTTTAACTTTCTGCCACAGTACACTAATTCTGTAATGCATAAAGATAATGGGAAAACTGTTTGCAATCTTGTCAAGATTCCTCTAGGGGTTATTCCCAGAATTTATTAATTTTTCCTTTTTTTTTAAACATGAAACATGATTCGAAGTGTCTTTAGATTCCATCACTATTAGATTTCATCACTATAGGGACACATTTATGTTTTTAAAAGTCATAGTTCCAGCTTGTTGACTTAAATTCTATTATATATTATGTTATATTATATTATATTATAAATTACAGAAACTTTTTAAACAAACGACAGATACAAAATCTGTTAAGGAAAAAAAAAAGTCTAATAGACTTATAATATAAACCTAAGACAATGTGTCCCTTATTTGATATTATATTAGCTATAAATTGTTGATAATGTAAAAAAAAAAACATGTATGAAATGATTTGACTGTTTACTAAGTAAACCGTAATATTGCATACTACTAGATTGGTAATGCTTTACTTGATGTCTTCAAATATATAATGCTTTATAATTATGCCTTGTAATGCACCTTATAATGCATTGTATAATCTCATGAATAATTGAACGCACAGTTAGAATATATTTAATACTTATCTATTCATCTTAAGTAACCAATAAAAAACAGATGTAGCAGGAAATCTGCAAATATGATGCATTTTAACTTTGGTAACAATTATTTATGAAAAGATCTAATGCATTATAACATACATTATGTAGTTTTTGTTTTTTAAATAAAAAGCCATTCTGACTAGTTGTAACATAAGTTTAAAACAAAATGTAAAAAGCTATTCATTAGTGGGGTAAGAAATTTAATAAATAACAGCTGGAATATACAATGACACATGAATAGGTACCTAAATAAGCATTGAATAAATAAATACTAGTAAAGTTGGAATTGATATTAGTAATTAATAGGACAGTTATTAGTAACTAGGAAATAAGTAAAGCACTGTTACCCAATGAACAGTTTTTAGCAAAATTGTAATTGGTACTAGTACAGGTGCATCTCGATAAATTAGAATGTCGTGGAAAAGTTCATTTATTTCAGTAATTCAACTCAAATTGTGAAACTTGTGTATTAAATACATATTGGAATACAAACTACTTTTTTATAATATCGATTATAATATCTGAACCACAGAATCACAAAGAATTCAAAGTATTTGTTAGCATACAGTATATTGATATAACAATGGAATATTTACCTTTGATTAGTAACTATTAGGAATGAAATAAGTACTACTATCTAATCAATAGTTATTGAAATTGAAAAGATAGTCACCAAATAAAAATAATAATAAAAACTAATAAGCACTAGTAAAATAATAATAAAATGGTAAAAATAATAATAATAATAATAATAATAAGCGCAAGTAACATAAAAAAGCACTAGTAACATAAAATACTATTTCGGCTACAGGAATACATATAAAAAGGCTTAAAATAACGGGCTAAATAAAACCCTTATAATAATTATTTTAACTTGACTTTGATGTCCACGTCAGATTATAACATTATAAATAAAGACTAGTCTTTTTAATCAGTTTATTAATACTGTAATAATCTGAAATGTGACAGTATTAATGCCACACTGTCGTCTAATATTATAATCATAATCACTCTAATATTAGCGACAGATGCTTTGCATTATATGTTACCTATGAGCTCAGGATCTGGTATGGCATCTGGGATCTGAGCCGATACCAGCTGCTTGAGAGTGGAGACCCGATACTCTCCGGGAGGAACATCTCCAGGCTCGGTCTCTGGGAACTGCAGCACGGACTTGGGAAGAGAAGGCTGGTCCAGCAGCTTGAGAGACAGACGCCACTCTGAGAACGCCATCGGTCTTGTGCACGCACTAGAGATGATATGTGCTCATGAAATGACCAATATATCTGTCAGTCTTGTAAACGCAATCTGTCTTTGAAATAAATAGTATCATGCGACTGTTTTCATCCGTGCGCCATGACGTCACGCAGGAAAGATTGCGGTTCTGGGAATTGTAGTTTTCCTGATGTGTTTACAGACTGTAACAGTCGCTTATGAACAGAGAGGGCAGTGTTATTATGAAGCGCTGCACTACAAGCAGAGATTTAAAGGGGTCATATGATGTTGCTAAAAATAACATTATTTTGTGTATTTGGTGTAATGAAATGTGTTTATGCGGTTTAAAGTTCAAAAAACACATTATTTTCCACATACTGTACATTATTGTTTCTCCTCTATGCCCCGCCTTTTTGAAACGCATAAATTTTTACAAAGCTCACCGGTCTGAAAAAGCGAGGTGTGCTGTGATTGGCCAGCTATCCAATGCATTGTGATTGGCCGAATACCTCAAGTGTGAGACGGAAATGTTACGCCCCTCACAATACTGTTGATGCCGTGTCCGGCCGGAGCGACGAGACAAAAACATTAAAACCCATTACAAACGAGGCATTTGTTGCATCCAGTGGGGACATAATTACTGATTATAATGACTTATACTGTCTTTTTACGCGTTGCTAATAGAAAAAGTACAAATAAAGCGGTTTTGGTACAATTAAAAACCAGCCAAAATAATGTGTCTTTTAGAAGAGAACCCACAGGGTTATTATTATCATAAAACTGAAGCATCTTTTTTTTTTTGCTTGAAATAAAATTATTTCAACTGTAATAAATAGAAAGAAAGAAATAATTTTTTATTTAGCTAGTTGTCAAGGCAACATTTCTTATTTCCATTTATTTTAACTTAAATAACTAAAAATAACTTAAACTAAAAATAAAGCTGAAATAAATAAATAAAATAAAAGCTATATAGACATGTTTTTAATAAAAACGAATAATAAAAAAATAAAAACACACAACAAAATTGCTAAAAATTTAAATGAACATTTTCGTTACTTGAAATAAAATAAACATGACCTGAAATGAAATAATATATAAAACCATTTACTTATTTTATTTCAGTTATAGTTTCCAAGGCAACATTTCTCATTTAGTACAACTAAAATTTTAATTAAATTAATTACGAAAATTAACCATGGTTTTACTACAAATAAAACCAAAAAACCATGGTTACTATAGTTAAACCATGGAATCCACAAAAGAACCATGGTTTACTAACCATAGTTTAACCATGGTATTTGTAGTAAAATTGTGGTTATAGCCTACAAATGGTAATCAATACACCAAAACAAAACAAAAAAAAAACATGGTCACTACACTGTTACTACAATAAAACCATGCTTAACTATACAGTTAGACGTATTAAAAGAAGAATAAGAAAAAAGGGAAAAGAAAAGAAAATAAAGAATAAAATTACAAACACAACAAAATGACTAAAAATGGTATTAAAAACAATTATGGAATCTCAGTGATACTAAAATAACACTGCCCACTTAATTAATTAAAATAATAATAATAAAATGTTTTTGAACATGTAAATGTAAAATGCTTTTGAACATGTAGCTTTTTGCACAAATTAACAAACTGGGCAAAGTTAGCATTAGCAGTTAGCACTTCTATTAATCTCAACGTTTGCTCCGATAACACATCAGTCACCGGTAAGTAGCCTACCATATGTAATTTGAATTAATTTAGTCATTTTTGCTCGCCTGCACAGGTGCAGTTACAACATCTACCAGTAGGGGCTAACTAGAACATACTACTAACTCTTTACTACATACTACTTTGCTATCCTAACCTAGGATAGCAAAGTCCACTAAAGGAGGTAGAGCTTTTTCGCATTTGGCTCACAAACTCTTGAATAGCCTTCCTGATAACGTTTCGGGGTTCAGACACACTCTCTCTGTTTAAATCTAGATTAAAGACACACCTCTTTGGCCAAGCATTCAAATAATGCATCTCATAATCTTGCACTGCAGTTATATCTGATCAAATGCACATTATTATTCTTTAGTTTGGGTTAAACAAATCAATTTTGCTTGGTTGGAACAGCAGCTACGCTAACTATGTTTGTATTTGTTTCTCTGTTTCTGCTGGGATTGACATCCCATGGTAACTAGGATTTACACAAGCTTCAGTCTGGATCCAGAACACCTGAGAAGAGATGATGCAACCCCTCAGAGGACCTCAGATGATGCCAACCCTGAAACAACATACAGAACTACCACATTTTGCTATAAGTTTGATTGCATCATATAATAATTGCTGTTAATAGTGTTCATCGTCTGTTTTATTACGTCTTAAATAGATTTTTCCGTACATTTCTGCCATATGTACATTAACTGACAGTCACCACTGATAAGCTACCACTAAATATTGTAAAAACTTAATTTGCTGTAAAGTTGCTTTGCAATGATTTGTATCATGAAAAGCGCTGTACAAATAAACTTGACTTGACTTGACTTGACTACTAACTAAATGTTGACTTTTCAGGTGAAAACCAGGTCCACCGGCTAGAAAATCGAGCTCTTCAAAGAGCTAATGATGATAAATTAGCCTAGCAGTTTGGATCAGCTAGATATCATATAAAACAACTTAGCACCTAAATACTTATTATTTCAAAGGTAGCATTAGTAATAATCTTGTATATGATCGTTTGCTTTATTCACTCATTCCTTTCCCCTATGATCAGTTCTTTCAATTCCAAGCTCTCATATCCATCAGTTCCCAGTGCTAGTCAGGGTTTTAGTGAGGGAGGACTGTATTTGTGCTGTCACGCAGTTATTCGCTATGACAGATGGTCTCTTGGCTGGATATGCTTCTCAGAGAGCGCCAGTCTTCACTGAGCTCCTCCACTGACAGCGCCTGAGGGAATCAGGGCACACCAGTTATGACAGCGATAGAGGAAGTGTCCAGACATTTCACACCCTGCGAAGAGACGCTCTGTTCAGCCAGAGCCGGTGGAACATGGCTCAGCTACAAAGGGACATCACTTTGGGCTTGTCTAAAGATCAAGACAAGTCTGAAAATCTGTGCCGGGTAGATTAGAGGAACGGTCCAAACTACCACAGTAACCACTCAGACTTTGGTCATTTTGAAGTGGAAACCAGACGTCCCCATTGTAGCAGGAGACATTTTTTACATTTTACTTCCGAATAATGGCTATGTCCTCTGGTTTGACAAGCCATACTCTAATTAAACCATTTTAAGCATCTTTTTATGAATATGATGCACACAGGTTTTATAGCTTATGGAAATTAAGAGACTCATGGAACATTCATAAACACACACACAAAATAAATAATAAATATACCACAGGATCTTTTAAAGTAAACTAGTGGTAGAACAAAGGTAACCAGTTATGATACAGTACATGTCAATTTTAATGTAAAAATGAATGTGCATGGAAAAGTTATGTCATTTACTCTAATACAAATCTGCTTTCCTTCTTTGATAATAAGAAACAAGAATACGCAACAGAGTGATGTTTGCTAATATTTACTTTGAGAAAAGCTGGATCATAATTTTCTGTCTCAGAATGAATCATAAAAATCTGTCTCAGAGAAAATTTTATGAATCAAAAGGAGTTGTTTCATGTATTTGGCATCTTAATGAAGTTGCCAGTTATTTAAAAAAAATGTCTTGGATATTTCTCTTTGCACTTACCTACTGTCCCTCAGGCTACTATGAAGTAATTGTGCCCTCAGTTTAATTAAGTACAGTGCATCGTGGATGAGACTCAGGAGGAATTCTGGTGTGGTACAGGGAGGATCTGGCCAAGCACATTTCTATTATTACATTTGGAAAATTTCACTGCTGGTTAAAACTAAACAACCAAATTGGCATTTCAACTACTGACATATATCTCTGTGCCATCTATATTCCCCTAACAGAATCCCCTTACCATGATGAGGAATACCTGAACAACATCCACAAAGAGATCAGCCGTTTCCAGGCCCAGGGAAATGTGCTGCTGTGTGGAGACTTTCATGCAAGAACTGGATCTGATCCCAATAACATAGATCCAAAGGACAATGAATATATCTCTGAGTCTCACAAGAAAACTTCCACCGAGAAATAATCTTGACCAAACTGTAAATAAAAATGGTTCAGAGTTAGTGCACCTCTGGCGAGCTTTATTCCTGTACATACTTAATGGCAGGATCAGAGGGGACTCTTTAGGGAGGTTCACGTATTGTTCAGGTCTTGGAGCTAGTGTAGTTGACTATGCCATCACTGACATGGATCCGTCCTCCTTCAGTGCATTCACTGTCAAACAGCAAACTCCACTTTCTGACCATAACCAAACTAACATTTATATTAAAACAAATCACACACCAGAACAAAACCTGCAAAATGTATCGGGCCCAGCACAGATCCAAATGGACTCCAGACAGCGCAGAAAAATTTATAAAATTTTTCAAAACATTTTTTAAAAAGCCCTGAATTCTGAAGAACTGAAGAATCTAATCCCTATATTTATTAATAAAAAATGTGAAACAACTAAAGATGGTGTTAATTTGGCTACAAATGAAATCATTACATATTTCAAAAAGCAGCAAATATAAGTTAATTGAAAAAGAAGGCAAAAAATTCGCAAAAAAACAACAAAAGGTGAAAAATGGTTTGACTCAGACTGCAAAACATTAAGAAAACAACTTAGAAAATGATCAAATCTGAAACATAAAGAACCATACAACACCGCCATAAGAACTGAATACTGTTCAAAACTAAAACAATACAAAGACACAATTAGAGCAAAAAAGCAGCACCATCTGACCAAACGTTTACAAGAAATAGAGCATTCAATAAACCATAATCAGTTCTGGGATATGTGGAATAATCTGAGCACAACAAAACCACAAGACCTACCAATACAAGATGGAGATATTTGGACAAAACATTTTGAAAACTTATATAAAGAAATTCCACCAAAACAACTCAATGACAATTATAATCTGATCAAACAAAATCTACAAATTTATGAAGACACAATTAAAAATAATCTTCCCAATTACATATAAAGAATTGACAAACAAACTCAAAAGCCAAAAATGTAAGAAATCATGTGGTCCTGACAGCTTTCTAGGTGAAATGCTG